TCATGTGACCACAGCAACAGTCCAGAAGGGGTTAGTAGCACTGAAATTGCCACAACGTCCCCAAATTTCATTCCTGCAGGAGTCATGGGTCCCAGATTTTGAACACATTTTGTAAGTTAGCCCATTGGAAGTACCTTCGTTCAAAAATTGTTGCCCTATGATCCTTTTTCGCCCAGTTAAAGATCATGACAATGAAAGTTTTAATAAGTATATAGATGGTAAATGATGACCTGGTTAGCTGTATTAAGGTCCATTTTTAGAGGACACGCACTAGAGGAATATTCCAAAAACAAGGGGGGAAAGAGCAACCATACCAATGTAATGCCGGTGTCTTATTGAGTACATAAAATGTATTATTCAGGGTGAATGGCTTCTATGTCCAGTGGCTACCTTGTTACATGTTCCATTGATGTACTTTATTCCTCATTGTAGCTGAGCTTGATGCAGAATTGAAAATTCAGGCGTTGTTTTTAAAGAAAAAAAATTGGTCACGCTATTGAAAAATTACCACTGACACACTTTCCTTTGAATAACATGTTACCTCCCCATACACACCAGAGAAAGGGTCACATGTTGAAATATTTAATTACCATGGTGCAGAAACCACAGTGGGCTCTGAAATTTTCTTTGAATTTACAACATTCATGTTTTTAATATCTCTTTTGCACATATCCAGTATGAGATGGGGAAAGAAATGGAGAAAAAATTGAGTTAAGTAGTCATACTTCCCATTTAAGTCAAAATCCAGTAGCAGCTAAGCATATCTTTGGAAATTTATTTTCAGTTTCTTGGAGGTTGAACTGACCCATGTCTCCTGCTCTTATTGGTAACCATTACAATAATTAATTGATGCTCATTATTTCTTTCTGTGCCAGGAAACATTTTAAAATGTTGAATTTAATAATGAAAACAACAGTTATCATGAAGTTTCAGCATGAAATTTTAAGAGCTCATGAATATGGACAACTTCTAGGAAATGTTAACTTCACTGATAAATCATTATTTGATGTGATAAAATCTATAGGTGTTATTGTAATTTCCTGTTCTAAATTGTCAAATTTAAAATTATAAAGTAATTAATTTTTCTTTAGCGCATGCATATATTTTACTTTGAAAATTTACTGGTAGAATTTTGTAGCATTATTTTACTGATCTGCAAACTGTTAATAATAAAATTGAATCTTCCATTATTTTGCAAAAATACAGTACAGCTAATTTTAAAAAGGTCTTCATATTATCAATAATTCCTTTGAGATGTCATTTGTTAAAAGGCAAAGTTATGGCAGCGATTAGAAAACTGCACAGCTCCTTAGAGCTTGGCCATAGGAGATTATATATTTATCTCATAAAGTATGTAACTAATTTCAGTTGAAAAAATGCAGTTTATGTTTATTTTATAATAGACGAGACTGCTGCAGAGAGGAACTACCTGTTAAATATCATGTCATGTAATTTCCCCACATTCTTCATCCTCTAAGACAGTGGTTCTCAATCTGTGGGTCGGGACCCCATTTGGGGTCGAACGACCATTTCACGGGGGTCGCCAAACAAGGCTGTCTGCCATTTTTCCCCCTTTTCTTTGGCCATGCCCCTGGCACCCGGTGATGTATAAGTGGTTGGGGGTCACCACAACATGGGGAACTGTATTATGGGGTCGCGGCATTAGAAAGGTTGAGAACCACTACTCTAAGAGAATCTGTATTGGTGTGGGGATTTCTTTTGGCTACGATTGGACACACCACAGCTTGTATGAAAGCTTTACACCTCCCTTTATTACATTTCACACTTTTCCTAATGCAAAGCTTTTTTCTTGGCTGGACAGAGCTAACTTCACTGTCCTATTTCTAATAATCTGGCCATGGACCAGGTGCTTAGCCTTTGATTTACTTAGCTGGTTTCTTTCTATTTAAGTTCTAACAGGATAAGTGCATATAGTGCTTTTCTCCTTCCAGAGTTTCTTACACATGTTTGGGGTTTTGTACAGCCTCAGCTCGGTTGCTCTTTCTATACAACAAGACACCAGGCAAAGGTGCTGCTTAGCTCCAAACCATTCTCCAAGTGTTACACCTGTTTGCCTGCTCACATACAGTACAAGTCTTCTAGATTAGATTAGGGCATTAGTGGGGAAAGAGGGCAAACCTGGCTGATTGTAGACTTTGAAATGTTCTTCAAAATGATAGGGTGTGGCTAAACTAGCCAGTTTGGAAACCATTATGCCTGTCAAAGAGCCCGAGTGTGGCTAACCAGTTGACTGGAATTCTGAAATCTTGGAATTTGTTTTTACCTCCTGCCCCCTGACCCAAAGTTGCCCCTGAGGAGATCTCCTTGTCACTGTCTGTTATCACTCCCATCCATCTTCTTCCTAACAATTCCAAGAAAATGACTTTTCTAAGAGTGCTAGACACATTTACGATTTGCGGAACACCAAAGAACTAGATTGAGAATAGGGTTTCATGGAAGTCTACATCTGAATTGAAGTTGATTTTGAGTGGTCTTGGTTTATCACAGAAACCTGCAATGTATGGCAAATGTGGTCCACCATATTCATTGGAGACAGTCTTTAGTTACTGGACAAGTATCACAGAGTGGCTAGCTTTTTTACATATATGGTGCATTATTCCTTGACAGCTAGCACCAGAAAGAATCACTTAATTTGGAACATGGGCTGTTTTGCCAGGCAGAAATGGCTTTTGCGTTGCTTGATTGGTAGATTTGGTTCGGATATAAAATAATAGGTATGCAGAAAATTTCATCTGTTGTGAGAACTGAGGAAAAATCTTGGTTCACTTATTATCTGTTGGCAAGGCCATAGGTCAGAGGTAGGCAACCTTGGCTCTTTTATGACTCGTGGACTTCAACTCCCAGAATTCCTGAGCCAGTCATAAAAGAGCCAAGGTTGCCTACCCCTGCCATAAGTCAACATTATGGACTCCTTTGCTTTCATAACCTCTCCTTGTTTACTGACCACAATTTGTTCCCAAAATTATTAGCCAAACAGTTGCTAAGTCAAATGGTAGAGAAGTGAACCGACATGACAGAGAGAAAAAAAAGCCCTATGTAAAGGTTTTTGCCCTCTCACTGCTGCTGTGGCATGTCTTTTCTGACCCTCTTTCTCCTCTCACTTCTCCAGCCTATGTAGTATTTTTCTGAATCCTAAAAAGATTAAAATAGATGGCAAACCTGCAGTAAACATGGTATTTTGAATTACACATGTGCACCCTGACTTTATTTAAACAACACCTCAAGATTGGCTGTTCCTCTAGAACAGGGGTAGGCAACGTTGGCTCTTTTATGACTCATGGACTTCAACTCCCAGAATTCTTGAGCCAGCATGGCTCAGCTTGGAAACCTCTCCCTTTCCCCTCCGCGTGGCTGGCTCAGGAATTCTAGGAGTTGAAGTCCACGAGTCATAAAAGAGCCAAGGTTGCCTACCCCTGCTCTAGACCAGGGGTGTCATGGGCCAGATGCGTCATGCACAGGCCATGCCCACCCTGGCTCCACAAAGGCAAAAAAAGTTGCAATACATCATGTGACACAATCGAGTTTGACATCTGTGCTCTAGATCTTGGGTTAGAGTAACAGACCCCTGTGTGAATATTATTAGTCAGAGTTATTTCAGAAGTGGTTTGCCATTGCCTTCTTCCTAGGATTGAGAGAAGGTAATTGGCTCAAAATCTCATAGTTGGCTTCTAGTTGGCATAAGGCAGAACTAGAACACAGCTTTCCCCAATTCTAGTCCTGTGTCTTTAACCAACAGAACAAGCACAAATTACTTTCTGGCTATCAGTTATAGATTTGAACTGCTTATTATTGTGCACTGCTGTATTTGAAGTGAGCATTTGATTTGATTTGATGCTGCCCAATTCCAAATGACTCGGGGTAGCTCAAAATACACCAAACAATATAAGGACAAAGAAAAAGTAAGAAAATCAAGATGGCGAACTATTTTTTCTGTAATAGCTTGGAATAACTCGTTTTTCTCATTATAGTATCTCAGTTGAAAGGTTTGTGAATGCATTTCTTGTATAACTCTTAAATTCTGAACTAATAGTTTATTTGAGTGATTAGACCAATGTGTTCTAAAAGATATCATTTAACAATATTGTAGTCACCTAATGTACTGCCTCCAGCTATATATGCTGCAATTTCATTCCTGGCATGGGAAATATGTAAGAGACTATACAACTTCTCTCTTCTTTCTTTTCTTTTCTTTTCTTTTCTTTTCTTTTTTCTTTCTTTCTTCATATCTTTAATAAGATATCATACAATCCATGGAATTATAATATTCATATTATATTATGAATCAGAACCACAATCATGTAATTATTGGATGGGTTTTAAAATACTGGCATGTAATATATAGATAGTCCTCAATTTACAACCATAAATGAGCCCAGAATTATGGTCATAAGTTATGGCAGCTGTTAAATGGGTCTCATGACCTTTCTGCAGCAGTCATTAAACACAGTTGTAAAGAGAACACTGCAGTCATTAAGTAAATCCATTGTTTGCAATAGATGTTTTTTGCCAGTAACCAAAGGTAAATGCCAGTTTCTGGCAAAAACTGTCATAAATCATGATCTCATGATTGTGTGATGCTGCAAATGTGGGCCGGTTGTCAAGTGCCCAAAATGCAATCATATGACCATGGAGTGGGGGACCATGGGAACTTCAAGTCCGGTTCATAAGTAGCCCTGGGTAGGTTCATCATAACTCTGAGTGGTTGCTAAGTCATAAGTCAAAATTACCTGTATAGGAATAAGAATCATATTGTTTCATGAAAAAGGAATGTCTATTTCTCTTTTGTATAATCTGAGAGTAATACAATGAATAGTTGCAAAGTGTCCAACACCCCAAATAGAAGAGGATTTGTCTGTCTGCTCATTTTAAAGAAAGGATGCTTGGGTTATGTAATTGAGGTAGTGACGGTGGCCTATCACTGCTGTTCCAATTACCTGCTACTCTGGATGATAATTTTCATTTATCTCCCTCTTCTACAGGTGAGGGATACCATTGTCAGCACTAGATTTCTGGAGATTCTTTTAAAGGACTGCTTCAACTTCATTTCAAGGAATGAGAATGCCTTGTTTCTCTGTTCAGCCTGGACGTAAATAGTGAATTATTATTTGATTTATTTTCTGGCCACAATTATTTCAGAAATAGTCCTAGTGAGTTGATTATTGTTTAATCTATGTTTTGTTACTTGGAAGTGTTTTACTCTGTAACTCCTAAGGAAATGGAACATATCCTAAATTCTATTAACCTGATCACTGTTGATTAGATCCATCCCACTGGTCCATGTAGTGAAGTCAGTGTGTGGAGAGGTGGTGCCATCTGTCACGATGGTGATGGTAGTATAGCCCCTTTCTAAAGAAGCCATCACTAAATTCAACTCCTCTGCACCATTTTCATCCATTCTCTGGCCTTCCTTTTCTCTTGAGAAAAGAGCGCTGGATTAAGCAGATTATACCCCTAATAGGGACAATCTTTTCAGTCAGGTTTCAGGATAAGACATAATATGGAAATAGGCCTGCATATCACTGCACTTTTTGATCTCTTGAGGAACTGGGATAAGAGTAATGCAACCAACCTAGCTCTTCTTGAGCTCTCATCCGCTTTCATTATGATTAATCTTGATACCCTTCTTAGGAATAGGATGTATGGTGTTATATTGGTTTTCCTTTCTCTTGGGTTGGTTTTGGCTAGGGTATTTATGAGGGTTAGGTTAAGCTTACAGATTCTTTCTTGTAGGATGTCTCAGAGCATGACAATCTCACTTCTTCTGTTTAATGTGTGTGAACCCACTGAGTGAAATCATCCACTGACATAGGGTCCAATATCATCAGTATGTTGATAATAAATTTACATCTCTGAAACAAACAAACAGTGCTGTCAAGGTCATGTTCCACAGCTGGAGGCTGTGAAGATCCAGAGAGGAAAGAACATGCTTACATTTAACTCTGAGAAGGCAAGAGTGGCTGTGCTTTTTTCAATTTTCCCAGGATCAGTAATGTGTCATAGTTAGGTGTGGATAAGTTTGCATTATCCTATATGGAACTGATTCATAGTTTAGAGGTCCTCCTGGATTCTCAGTTCCTGTTGAAGAAGAAGTGGCAGCTCTGACTAGGGAATCTTCGCAAGATTCATCTGATGCATTGATTCTGCCTTTTCCTGGACAGGCAGTCTCTTCTCACATGCCTTTGTCACCTCATGTTTGGACTATTACAATAGTTGAAACATGAGTTAATTAGTCCAAATTTACTAAGAGCAATTGAGGTGATTATGGCATAGTTTATCCAGTTACCTGGAAAGAGTTTTGATGGCTGTGTTCCTGTTATAATAATAATAGTAATAATAATAATAGTAATAATAATAATAGTAATAATAATAATAGTAGTAGTAGTAATAGTAATAGTAAAGTTGGGAGGGACCTTGGAGGTCATCTAGTCCAACTCCCTGCTCTTGCAGGAAACCCTACACCATTTCGGACAAATGGCTGTCCAGTCTCTTCTTAAAAACTTCCAGTGTTGGAGCATTTACCGCTTCTGGAGGCAGGTTGTTCCACTGATTAATTGTTCTCACTGTCAGAAAGTTTCTCCTTAGTTCTAGGTTGCTTCTCTCCTTGATTAGTTTCCGCCCGTTGCTTCTTGTCCTGCCTTCAGGTGCTTTGGAAAATAGCTTGATTCCCTCTTCTTTATGGCAGCCCCTGAGATATTGGAATACTGCTATCATGTCCCCCCTTGTCCTTCTCTTCATTAAACTAGACATACCCAATTCTAGCAACCGTTCCTTATATGTTTTAGCCTCCAGTCCCCTAATCATCTTTGTTGCTCTTCTCTGTACTCTTTCTAGAGTCTCAACATCTTTTTTACATCGTGGTGACCAAAACTGGATGCAGTGTTCCAAGTGTGGCCTTACCAAGGCATTGTAAAGTGGTATTAATACTTCACGTGATCTTTTTCATTTGTGTTGTTTTTGATGGCTTTTTATGTATTTGTAGCAACTTTGAGTTGTAAGAAAGAGAATCAATCAATTAATAAAACCCTGCAGCTCCTAAAGAAGTAGACAAGATCCTTAACTCTTTTAACAGACCACCTGTTTCTTAGAACCATGTTCTTCCTTATTGGTCAAATTCATCTCAAGGAAAACCTCTACCTTGAAGAAAACAGTGGTGCTTCACCTTTTGAGAGAACTAACATGGGACCCAACAATTCTGGGCAATTTTCATCCGGACTCTAACATTCCATTTTTAGTGAAGGCATTTACTTCACTAAAGTCACAAGCTGGTTGACTTTGGGCCAGTCATTGTCTCTCAGTCCAACCCATCTCAAGGGTTGTTGTCATGAGGAAAATAGGAAGAGGAAGCAGTGTTGAATATATTTACCTCCTTGAGCTACTTTAAAAAAAAGGAAAGGCAGAATACAAACTTATTTCTTCTATATCTGTGTCATGTTTTAATAGCAATTTATATACGCATACAGATAAGTTATCTTGATTCTGTATAATTGTTTCTTACTCTATTGTCTTAAAAATAATTATGCACTTAATTATACTTTTCTTACAATAATTGTCTCCAGAATAAAAAAAAGTATTTATTTAATGAAGTTAAAGGGTAGATAACTCATTGTTTTTCTGAAATTCCATATTCTTATCAAACCCTTCATACTATGTCTTATTAAGTTTTTAACATTTTTGTATCCTTATACCATAAATATCTATAAAGCTAAACTGGCATCTTCTAGTATTAACATTCTAGCACAGTGATTCTCAACCTTTCTAATGCCGTGACCCCATAATACAGTTCCCCATGTTGTGGTGACCCCCAAGTGGGTGTGGCCACCAATAAGAGGGAGTAGGACAGCTAGGGAAAAGGGAAAAACTGGCGGACAGCATGGTTTGGTGACCCCCGTGAAATGGTCATTCGACCCCAAATGGGGTCCTGACCCACAGGTTGAGAACCACTGTTCTAGCATATGGGAAATTTATAAATGCAGTATCTATGATAGTAATATAATTTAAAATTTGGGAAAATAAGTCCAATTCTGCCACTTGAATCATGTTTTACTCTGGGATGTTCTTTGTTTGCTTGTTTTTCCTTTCCAAATAAATGTTTCAACTGTTCTTTGCCAATCTTGCATTTTTTATAATAATAATAATACCAGAATAACAGAGTTGGAAGGGACCTTGGAGGTCTTCTAGTCCAAACCCCTGCTCAAGTAGGAAACTCTACCATCTCAGACAAATGGTTGTCCAATCTCTTCTTTAAAACCTCCAGTGTTGGAGCACCCACAAATTCTGGAAACAAATCATTTCACTGATTAATTGTTCTAACTGTCAGGAAAATTTTCCTTAGTTCTAGGTTGGTTCTCTCCTTGATCAGTTTCCATCCATTGCTTCGTATCCTGCCTACTAATACAAATGCAGTGGAGTTTCCTATAAATATATGAAGTAATTAACAAATATAATTTTTAAGTGAATTTTAGTTAAGCTTCAGTTTCTTTATGTACAACTATACTGGCCTGTAACTTTATCCATTGCTCTTAGTGTAGGAGAAGGGCTGGCAGAGCTAGGGGGAAGAGTTAAAAGAGGAATCAGTTTAGAATCCTAAATAACCACAGACTAATTAAGTCCAACATCCCCTTGAATGCCTTGACTCTTATCTAGTTCCAACCAGGTGCTAACTATTAGTCTTAGAAGATTCCTGCTCATAGGCTTTAACAATAAATTAATAATCTGAAATTTCTGTGTGTGGACCTGGTTCTTCGTGCCTGACAATTAATTTATCCAGTTCCCCTTACATAATTTGCAAAATAACTCATCTTAATATATTCTGTGATGCAGAAACTAGTAGTGGCATATTAATTGTGTTTTCAGTGTGTGATCTTGCATGAGAAAACAATAATGCCTAGCAGGCTTTACTAGGATATAGTATGAATTGAGAATGCATTATAAAACATAAAAAAAAAAACATTTAAGCCATGCTGGAATTCCATGGTAGATTGACCTGAAAACATGTTTCTGAAGCATGTCCTGCTTTAAAAAACTGCACAACACACAAAATAAATTCAGTAGTATTGTATCAGTTGCTGGGTTTCTAAATTTTTTATGTAAATTGTCTCATTCACAGTAATCTAAAGCTATTAATAGTAGCAAAAGCTATTTTAGCATAGAAATGTGTCTGTAATTTCTGGAACAGAATTACTAATTGCCTTGGCCAGCATGGCCAATGCTGGAGAATATCAGGTGCGAGATCACACCAAGTGATTTTAAAATGTGTAATTTACAGTACTTTTCTCAAGAAACAGTTTAGCTAATTAAGTATTGCTTGGTCACAAAGCATTTTCACAATGGTTTATTAGCTATGGAGCTGATTCTGGACTGAATTCATTTTCTCATTTTAAAATTTAGGCATAAGTATTACATACTGAAAAAAATCACCCTATCCCTGACCAATCTACCAAAATATACTATTGATGGTGCGGCTATATTAACTTCACTATATCTCTGCCTGCACAAATGCATTTAAGAAAGTGAACTAAAGAATGACAATACATTTTTATATATTGTCCCCAGTCAGCACTCAGATAAGCAGGGTTTAGCCCCAGACAAACAGTAAACGATTCCTTACTCAAGGAACTATCAACTCAGACAAAATAACTCAAGACAAACAATCAAAGAATAAACAACAGCCTAATCAAGGAACTAACAAGGAAAAAACAACACCCTCACCAATATTGGCAGGGCAAGTTAATGTATATAGAGAACAAACCTCATTCCCTTATAGTAATAGCGCTTAGACTTATATACCACTTTACAGTGCTTTACAGTCCTCTCTAAGTGGTTTACAGAGCCAGCATATTGCCCCCAACAATCTGGGGCCTCATTTTACCAACCTCAGAAAAATGGAAGGCTGAGTCAATCTTGAGCTGGTGAGATTTGAACTGCCGAACTGCTGGCAGTCAGCAGAAGTAGCCTGCAGTATTGCATTCTAACTATTGTGCCACCACTGCAATAATACTGACGATGCTATCTAATATGGTAACAAAATGTTTGCAAGCAATCAATCTAGTTCAGAGAGCACCAAGGTCTCTACTGAATGCAATTTTTCTCATAGGATACTGATTTGGACAAGTTATTTTTCAGCTGCTACTAAATTTGGCATCAGTTTAGTCCAGAAATATTGGCATGTCTCAAAACATTTTCACGTTTTAAGAGAACACCCTGTATACATCCCCTGAACATTCATTAGGATAACTTCTATTTGGCATTATCTGAATTCTTCCATAGGGATAGGCTATCTAAAATATTCCCACACTATTGCCAGTGGTGAATGATAAACTTCGTTGCATTCAGACTTTGCCATACTATTTAGATTCATCTTAATTGAGCTAAAAATCTCAATTTATTTATTTGTTGTCTAAAGTAACTGCCATAGAAGTCTTGTTGTTGTCCTTAGATTTGTAAGAAGTGACATTGCAAAATATAGTTTATGTTAGATTTCCTTTAACACTATTTCTAAGAAATACCCTCTAACTTTAGCTAAGCAAGTGGCAATGAAAATCCCTAAGGAGGAAAAATAACTATAGAAGTAAAATTATTAGAACTTCAGCTGTTTCCAAATTAGGCTTTCCAGTCTGAAACAAAACATTAATTAGAAATATCTTTTCCAGTGGTCTCTTGGGAGGTTGACATATTTAATCTGATTTTAAAATCTCATAAGAATTTTGTTGCAGAGCTACTTTCAGTTCAGTTCACTAGATAGTTACAGTGAAATGGATTTTATTTCAATTTATCAGTGGTTATCTATTTCAAAATGTGTTTGGATGATAAAACATTTCATTACACGTGTTATCTAAAACACTATGTAAATACAGTCAGTGATATTTGAAAGATTGAAATTACTTGGAAGTCTGTGAAGCCATTTCTTTTTTTTAAAATGACCTTTAAGAAAAATGGTTTTGAAGGAGAGATAGGGTTCCTTTCTGTATTTTGGACATCCTTTCACTTGCCAAAAGAATTGTCTCTGTAACAAAACTTTACACATTCTAGGAATTTGGGTTGTGCCCTAACAGACTTTCCAAATTGGTGCTCTCTGTAATTGAAACTATACTTTCCAGCCTAGCTAGATTGGCGGGGAATATCAGGAATTGCAATAAAAATAAATCTAGAACAGTGGTTCTCAACCTGTGGGTCGGGACCCCATTTGGGGTCGAACGACCATTTCACGGGGGGGTCGCCAAACAACACAATCCGCCATTTTTTCCCCCTTTTCCTTAGCTGTGCTACTCCCTTTTATTCTATTGGCTTTTGAAAGCCAATAGAATAGACTCTCTTGAATAGAGTCTAATTCTATTGGCTTTCAAAAGCCAATAGGAATTGTCCAGGCTGTCTCTGCCCTGCTGAGCCCG